CTNTCTTCTTCTTCTTCTTCTCTGCCTATGGACTGGTTGTGGGATTGAGGATGAAAGAAGAGGCCTGTGGAAAGATGGTTGGGGGTTACTATGGGCCTCTCTGGGAAGGACTGAGGGACATGAGTCCTCGCACAGGCTCATTTGCGTGGAGTGAGTCTACATATGATAAGCATGCCTGTTTGCGACCAAAGGACAGTGGAGGAGATGCATCGGAAGGTCAACAGTCGAACAATGGAGGATGGGTACTCTAGCTACGAGGAGCTGCTATTTATCCAAGCGTGCAGGGATATATGGTACTGCGTACGAATCTATCTTATGGAGGCCTGCCGACCGACCTAACTTGCCAGCTACCAACTATACGAGTATAGATCCATTGCTGCTTAAGATGCAGCCTGCTACCAAACTAAATTCATCCATTCTCTTTCCCATCGGCCCTACTTGTAAAATTCATGATCTGCCCACCGACTCTCGCCGTCATCCCGCTCGAGGCTCTGTCGCTGAGCCTTGGGGCGTCCTATCCGGGCGGTGGTCTGATCGTATGTCCCCCCCACCCCCACCACGCTACCCATGCTTTTTAAGTCTTGACCTTACCCATGACAGACCACCTTGGACGTCATTCCTCCGTGTACGGAGCTCCAACGACATGTGCCAGTGGGTTATGTTACGTTACCTACCCCAGAGTTTGGACTTCTCCAGTTTTGGCCAAGCCTTTTGTTGTGGATACGGATTTGTAGCATAGGGAAAATTGTGCACTAATAAGAGGAATTGTGGTCAAGGATCATCAGATCATATAACGCCTTCCCTACCTGACTTGCCAGCTCCCGTCCTTTATCTCGTTAGACACATACGTCCGAATGTTGGTCGGGTTTGGCGACCTCATGCGTTTTGGTATATCCCAACCGTCCCAGATCGAAAAGCTACCTACATTAGTTCCCCCGAGACAGGCGCCGCTCGCCGCGACGGCGTTATTACCTAGTAAGTATACCCGTTTGAAGCCAAGTCTCGTGCCATGGATGAGGGTGGGTGTTTTTCTTTTTTGCCGTGAGGCGGTTCGCGCAGTCATGCCACCGCCGTCTGATGGGTAAGTCCGACGGGATTGCCATGTGGAAATGAGAATGGGTAATGACTATGCTGCGGTTGGGTAAGATCGATTTTGTACGGGATGAGTGACGGGCACTTTGAGGGGGCTAGATGGGGGAAGGTATATAAGAAAGTTCGCTGTCGCGTGGTCGATATCTACCTGTCTAGTGCCTTTACTTCATCTGCTATCATATTTGTCTTACGCTCACTCCCTGCCAGCTGCTTCCTCGTGCTGTATGTTCGCAGTTCCAGTTGAAGGCCTGAGAAGGGCGCACTATGCTTACAGAGTAAACAGATTATCAGGAGCACTGTGAACATTCCCAATTGACGTCGATCTCCAGGAGAACGACTCCCGACCGGCGATAATATATATATATATATAAAAAAGAATTCCTAGGAACCCATTCCCATAACCTAACCGACTAGATCACATAGACGACCATAAACCTGCACCTGAACATCCGCCAACTGCTCTCTTCGCAACATTCACACATCGTAGGCCTCATCTAACCAAAGCCTCTGACAAAATGCTTTACACTTCTCAACCCGACACGATCTGGATCCCCACCACCGCCGTCGACCCCCTGGGCTTCGGCAAAGTAGCCATCGTGACCGGCTGCGCGTCCGGCATCGGTCTGGCCGTCACCCAGCTGCTGCTTGCCCACCAGTTCCAAGTCTTTGGCCTTGACAAGACCCAGTTTGATTACAACCTTCTGCGGGAGGCCGACCATGGGCGGTTTCATTTCCACAGGTGTGATCTAACGGAGAGCGGGGCGCCGGAGGAGAGTGTTAGGATTTGTAGGGCTACTTTTGGGTATGTCTCCGCATTTCGGAATGCTGTTCGTTCAAGAGGGAGAGGGTTGCTGATGATAGAGTACAGAGAGCGCATCGACGTCCTCGTCAACGTCGCCGGCGTGATGGATAACTTCAGCTCGGCGGACTGCGTGAGTGACGAGATCTGGGAGCGGGTGTTGGCCGTCAACCTGACTGCGCCGGTCAAGATGATGCGGGCCGTGCTGCCCTGGATGAAGGAACGTCGAGAGGGTGTCATTATCAACGTTGCTTCGACGGCAGCGACGAGTGGTGCTGTGGCCGGTGTGGCGTATACGGCTAGTAAGCATGGTTTGGTACGTCCCCTGATATCAATCTAGGTTCTCGACTGGATGAGAGTCAAAGGGGTTGAATAGGCGACAAGGAGAAGTTTGCTGACACGAGTGTGTAGGTTGGTGCTACAAAAAATGTTGCCTGGCGTTTCCGCAACGAAGGCATCCGCTGCAACGCCGTGCTGCCGGGAGCCATTGACTCGGGTATTGGCAATGCGATTGCGTCAGGACATAATGATATGTGGGATTCGGAGGCGTATAAGCAGGTTGAGTACGTTTCCCTTTTCCTTTTGTCTCTGTGCCTCTAAGCCCTCTTTTCTCTTGGAGTAATCCTTTTTGCTTTTTTTTTTTAAATGAGTAAAAGCTGACGACATGATTAGGCCATTCCACGCCCTCCAAACCCGCCCCTCCGATTCAGCGCCGCCCATCACACCCCTCGAGGTCGCCCGGACGATTGTCTTTCTTGTAAGCGACCAGGCTAGGACAATCAGCGGCGCCTTGTTGCCTGTTGACAAGGCTTGGGGTGTTGTTTAAGCTGTTGCAGTTAGCGCTTAACGGATTTCTTGTTGGATGTAATGAGGTTGCGGCTCTTTTTGTAGTTTTTTTTTTTTTTCCCTCTGGGTATGGTTTCGGTTGGTTCTAGATGGCACTAGATGTGTCATAATTTAGAGTTTCGCTTTCTAAATGTATATTTTGAGGGACAATCGACTATGTTATCTCAAATAGACTGTCCACCGTGATATGAGATCGAGATGAAGATGCTCGAAACGTTATCTAGCTGGACCAACACTTAACTTGCAGTTCAATGTCTCTTGTCATGTCTCTCTTGATCATTTTAGCTCCATTCCACATAGTGTTTTCCAAATTTCACATGCACTTCATCACTTCGTTTCTTCGAGATCCTCACTCCAAAAGTCCCCTTCCCTTTCCTCCCTCCCTGCATCCAGCCGGGGGGGGGGACACAGTATCGAGCTCCTCAGCTTGGAGAGCGACCTAACGCTCAATTTCCATGGAGATAAATTTTGACGCTCTCTTGGTCAGTTTAGCCGCACTAAATTGCTAAATTCGGATAACTAGCCTGTTGTTTCTGCCTCTGGACGACATCAACTCCGGTGTCGTTCTGAAAACAGCCCCTACGACTTATCGATAAGCTTCCCTATTCAGCCCCACTATGACGTATGCAGTACCCCCACACGGCGGCGGTTGCTGGCCCCACGACTACAGTGCAACGGTGGGGTGATCATGATGTGCTTCTGGAGCTGGCACGGAGTAATGGGAAATTGGGAATTACGAATTGAGTTTCGAAAAGGGAACGAGATTGTGAATATCTCGTGGGCCCTTACTCCGAAGAGGGTGGCAGCGCCACGAGATCAAGCACGGGGGCAGAAGCAGCGAGGGAGAGATGTTGCCCCTGAACGGGGCGGGCCCCATACCCTACATAGGTTGAGGCAAGGCAGCGGAAATACTCAATCGGTGCGTAGATATGTCCCCTCAACGACGACGTGAATCCGCCGTCACTAAAAGTCGTATTGAGTAATCCCCAAACTGTCAGCCTACCAGCAGATCTCGAGGTTCAAAGATCTCTAATCTTCCCATCAACGGATTTAACCCCCTCCCCTCTTTTCTAGAGTAGGAGGTCGTCAGCATAGATACCCCCCCCCTTCCTTAGGAGGGCTTGGACTTATCTCCTAAGCCGTAATCCCAAATCTCCTTCCCCAGCGGCGAAGCCAACACGCCCGCGACCACAGTGGCAGGGATGTCATCCCTCCTTCTCACTGCCTGCCTCATCATCATTGTCATCATCGATCTTCAGTACGTGGAACCGGTTAAGCGCCGAAACCTGCTGTGCCTTCTTTTGCCCCATAGCATACTCGCGGATATTTTGACGGGGCTTAAACCACTCCGGAGCGGGGAAGGGCTGGGCACACTCGTCGGGGGCGAATACGATTTTGTGATGTTTGTATCTTCTATGTACACACATCGTCAGTCTATCTGTTTCTTATCCAAAAAAAAAAAACCTAGCGAGGGTTGTGAAGGAGTGAAGAGTAAAACGTACAGCCGACTCATCATGCACTGCCAAGCATAAATAGCATTATGCACCGAGTTAAGGCTGATGTAGCAATTACCGTCCAAGAACTCAACCTTGATCACGGCCAAATTGTGGATATGCTCCAAGTCCTCGCAGATTTGTGCTTCGGTGTGCTTGGCTGGGTCGAAGTTGTACAGAACCAGGTTGCGTGTGGCACCGCGGGTGATCTTGTCTGCCACATGACGAGGCAGAATAAACTGTCTATCTGCCCAGCGGATGTCGACCTATTCCTGTCAATACTCCTCCCAAGATTTCTCCGAACCATAGTAGCCATAATGAGACATACCCTCTTATTTCGAACGTACAAATCCCACCTTCTGACACTCTTCCAGAACCCCCTTGCATCCTCCTCCCTCAAGAACGAAACCGTCGCAGCCCGCTGTTCACTCCGCAAAAATACGTCCAACAGCATGCCGCCCCGCACGGCAGCCGTGATATCCGCATAGGTGGTGCCCTCAGCCAGGTTTTGAAGCACGATGGAGCGCTGACAGTTGCGGGGGTAGTACTGGGCATGTTGCCGCTGGTTTCCGTTAGCGTTGCCGTTGGCTCCGTTGGCGCCTGGCGGAGGGGACTCGACGCCTTCGCCGTCGCCGGCGTCAGAATCGTCTTCGGCGATAGCGGCCCAAATTGAGCGGGTAGTTTGGTAGCCGTTGTGGAAGGGGTAATAATCTCCGCTGTTCGAGGGCTGGGATGGGGAGAGAGGAGCGCCGCCTCCGGTGTCAGCTGGTGAGTAAGCCGGGGCAGAAGATGGGTGTCCAGCTTGGATAGCTTCATCATCTTGACTGAGGAACTATAAACTTAGTTAGCCGAGCACGAATAAACAGGATTTTTTTTAAAAAAAACGTTAAGCATACATCAATCGTTTCCTCGCCTACATTACGACGAAGGAGGTTACGTCTAAGATTGGCTGGGACAAAATAAGCAGGTGCGACAGGTCACGAATCACTGTGTTTAAAATAATTACCATATTGTCTGGCCAGAGACATGAGCGTGTCATATTCGACCCGCGAAATGACCACTGACGAGGAAGAGAGGATGCCGCTTTTAGTATCATTACCATTCGCGTAAGCCACGGATTCAATGTTCTAGAAGGGTCAGATTATGATTAACTGCTTGTTTTTCTAAGTTTCTGTCACAATGGGCCTACATGACGGGTTCTGTGATGGGTCGGATATCAGTCAGCATTTAATTCTAGATCATAGAAATGAAGGGCGAATGAGTTGGTGAGAGACACGTCTCCGATCTTTGTCTTGTCTTGCAGTTGGTGACACCTCTCACACAATGCATTTACCATTCGGTCGAGGCTCACCTTTTCAGGAGAAGATTAAGATAATCATGGCCAGCTGGGACCATTGCGGTGTTGGATGCCATGATGCTTAGTGGGATAATGAGATAATGGTGTGTAAATTATTTTTTTTGGAGAAAAAAAAAGGACAAAGTGGAGGAGGAGAAAAGAACAACTCTGCTGCAAGAAAAATAAAATACTTGGTCAAGGACGACTGCAGCATTGCCTGATGCGCCCACGAACTGCCCAAAGCAAGGTAGCAGGGTGCTTCCAATGGAGATAGAGAAAAGGCAGATAACGGTTGGCCAACGAGGTATCACTGCCTCGAGGCGAGGATCGTTGCGGCTGAGGCAGTCAGTGGTAAGTGGTCAGTGAGTGTGAGTGCCAGTGTGGTGCTGGCTTTGGCTAAGGAGTCTGTAAGCGCTTCAGGGTTGAGCGTTGGAGTGCCCTCCGCCTATCAACTTGATCCTCAACGGCGGTCCAGCGGCGATTGAATTTGGTGGTGTGATTGGTTTGTTGTGCTCTCGGTATGCACGAGCCACAGGCAAAAGCTTCAGATGTTCATCCAAAGTGCAGACAACTAACAGAGATTAAATGGGAATCATGGATTTATGGAGAATGGGATTCAGCTTGGATATTTGTGATATAGATATCTTAGAAAGTTTTGGCAGACTATGGTTTACCTATCCAGTGTTCCAGTGTTAAAACTCACTATCAAAGGCAGCACAGTGACATTGGCTGTCGTGAGCCATCGGGTTAGGAAATGAAGGCACATCTGGAGTGTCATTCGGGGCGCATCAGCAAGCGCCACTGCTAGTCAGCCAACAGTCTCAAAGCAGCATTTGACTTGTGACTGAACTAATGAACCTATTACGTGGATTTGAATTCACAACTTGCGATGGCGACATGGCCTGACGGCACCAATACCGATGAGTTAAGCCATCGACCACCTTCTACGAGGTGTCGATGTTTGACAGATTTCCATGGTTCTTTGATCGCTTGTCGGTCCAAGATTAAGTGCCGCCAGGCTATATATACTGTGTATACGAGGGCATGCAGATGCCGTCGGACGACGATGGCGGAGTGCCGCAAGGTTTCACTGATCGGATCCAGCCACATGCTGATCACTGTTGCATATGTGTTATCGGCCTTGATGGAACATTCTTCTTTCATCCTACGATTGATAGAAGTGGGAATTCGGTCTAGGGCTTATCACATTGTCGTCTGCCAAGCAGCTGAAACGTATGGCAATCCGTCGTGGATTTGATGCCAAAATCCAGAAGGATGGGACTGGCTTCTTATTATGCAGGCTCATGGCACCAGGTCACAAGATCAAAGCACAACGGTCGTGTTGCATCCTGCCATCGCAGGACACAGCCGGCTAAAAATACAAGCGCAGAGGTGGCGTGAGCCTGTTCTCTACCACAACACAACAACTGAAAGTTGCATAACAGCATGACAGTGACACAGACACCCCGTTCAACACGAACATGTGTGAGCATGCTTTAGTCAAGCCAAAGCCAAGATCAGGACCCGAGGTTCAGGTCAGCAGGGTTCTTTCTGCCCGTTCGCTGGGGAAATCGCGTGCATGCGTGCCGTGGTTGGCTAGCTGGCCAGCCCGGTTCCACTCTTCCGCCAAGAGCCACAAAGGGGCCAAGACTGGGCTTCTTGGCAAAGCCCAGCTGAGCCAGCCACCATCATTGGTCAGCTAGGCTCCAGGGGTAGCGCTCTTCGCCGTGGTTGGTCAGCTCTAGCTGGGGCTGGACCCGCTGGATCGACAAGCTGGGTGTCGATGTGGATGCTCTCTCCTCTGTTCCCCTGTTGCTGTTGCTTGGGTGGATCTGCTGGCTGGCCCCGGCATTTTCTTGCTTTGTATTGTTCGACGACCGGCAAACTGGCATTCCAGCCGTTTCCCGAACACCACGCATACACCACACCCATCACATCATCCCCCATCCTGTCCTGATATTTTTGTATACTCTTTTTGTTAACACACTGTCGGGTGTCCCTCGCTTTTCCCATAACATCTCTGGGCAACCAGCACGCTCGCTCTCCCACACTCGCTTTTCTCACGATCCCCTGTCGTTGAATCCTCTTTCAAGACGCCATCTCGCGCCGGCTTTGATTTGAGGCCCGGGCCAATAAATCCCAATTTTAGGAGCGACCCATCCACCCGTCCTCACGTTTCGAGCAGCAGGCAACAGACGCCGTGACACCTGCTTCGCCCGACACCACCTGTTCCGCAACGAAGGCCATTTCTCCGACGTCGAACAAACTTTTTTCTTAGGGAGCATCATCCCGTAACCCCTTTATCCGTCTCCCGTTCCCCCCCCCCCCTCCTTTTTCGCAGCGCCGCCCGACCCGGCGGACTGGTCATCATGAAGGCACATTTTACCCTCGGCCAGCTGGCCGTCGTCCTACTATCGCTGAGTCACGCCGCCAACGCGCTGAGCTGGCCACGATGGCTTCCGGATATTGACACTCTGATCGTGCGGCAGGAAGATGACTCGAAAGGTAGGTATCCTCTCTTTCCAGCAATTTTTCTAAGTCCTACTAACACTCTCCAGAGTCAGAAACCTCCCCCACGCCAACCGCCAAACCGACTTCCGCCAAAGACGACCCCGATGACACCGAAGACAAGCCCACAACCTCCCGCAACCCCTTCGAGCCCATCACCACGAACCTCAACACCGGCGGCTTAACCAAATCGGCCACCGCAACCGGCAAGGTGACCGGCAACACTACAACCACCCGTCCCCCGCGCAAAACCCAATTCAATCCCATGGACCCAGCCGGCTCCGTGGTAATGCTGACTCCGGCACCGACCGAAGCCTTCCCGCTCTACAAGATCGGCGACTACATCACCTGGGGTTGGAACTACACCAACCTGCAAGCCACGCCCACCGCAATCGACCTCTACGTCAAGTGCTCCAAGGTCCCCCAGCCCTGGACCCTTACGCAAAACATGACCTGGGCTACCAAGGGCGAATATACCTGGGACACGAAGGCCTTCCAGACGGAGCATGTCGAGAACCCACTTCTGACCGAGCAGTACACGCTGGTGATTGCGGATGCAGAGACCGGGCCGAGCGCTACGCCTGAGGCTGGGTATCTCGCGCCGTTTAGTGGATTCCATTTCGGACTGTACAAGCCAATGGATTATCAAGATAGCGCGGACGGGTGGACGTGTGCTTCGTGCAGCGGGGCGAGGAGAGCGACGGGGGTGGATGTGAAGGGCTTGGGGATGGCACTGGGGATGTGTGTGGTGACGGTGGTGAGCTTTACGTGGTTTGTTGTTGGTATTGGGATGTTTTAAAGAGTGAGAACGATGATAGCGAGCAGCGGACAATTGGGTAATTAATTTTTTTGAGTAAGTACAGGGGGAAAAAAAAGGGAAGTTGTTGATGGTTGAAGGAAGGCTGGATTCTGGTTATTTTTTTTTTGTTTTCTTACTCATCATTACTATTGTCATGGTCATATCATCTAATGCAGCGCAAGCACCAGTGCAAAGCAAAAGGGTTAGTTCAAGATATTTGACAGACAGACAGGACAGCATCTTATCAGGAAGAGAAGATGGAGTGGAAGGGGGTAATGGCTGTATGTAGTAAGTGTCGTGAGTCATGACAACCGCATCGGTGGTATATATATCGGTAGCTTTAATGGAGCATCATTAGGTAGATTAGTCTATGGTCTTTTTGATTACATGTCCAGGTTTTGTATGAAGTTCATCAGGCTCTCACCGATCCCCGACCTTTCGGATGACATACTTCCCATATATCTCTCCTGCCCACTTCATTGAAATCAACTCAGGTCATTCTCACCTTCATGACGTATATATATATACCCGTTCCAACCACTCTCCAAGCATACCTACCTTTATACCATCCGCAACGAAAAACCCCCACCCCTCTCCTCTTTGTCTCTGCCAGCAAATATCCCACTCCAATCCACACTCCCGAAGTCCAGTCCCCCTTCTGCCATCCCCTGCCCCCTGCCCGGCGCATTCGGCGTCTCCCTCCTCCTCCTCCTCTCCTGACCCGCCTTGCTCGGAAACGTAGGGAACATCGCCTCGCTCTTAGGCTTCGGATCCTGCTTGAAAAACTCATGCTGTAGCACCTCTTCTGCTGTCGGCCGTTTCGCCGGGTCGAGGGACAATAACGAGGCTAGAAGCGACGCGCCGGCTGTCGTGAGGAGGGGGAACTTGGCCCGGATCAGGGAGAAGGTAGTTTGCCCCTTGGGAGCGGGCGGGAGACGTAAGTGGCGGGCGTGGGGGAGGCGGCGGAAGGAGGGCCAGGATTCGTCTGTCGGCAGGCCGCAGAGGGAGAAGATTTGGGTTAGTTGGTCGACTTCGTTGCGGCCTTGGAGAAGGGGCTCGCGGGTGAGCAGCTCGCCGAATATGCAGCCTACGCTCCAGAGGTCGATTTCACGACCGTATTTTGGGGTGCCGAGCAAGAGTTCGGGGGCGCGGTACCAGAGAGTGACGACGAGGGTTGTGAGGTTTTGGGGTGGGGGATCGCCGACGTAGCGGGCCATGCCGAAGTCGGCTATTTTAAGGAGACCGCGGTTGGAGAGGAGGAGGTTGGAGGTTTTGAGGTCGCGGTGGAGAATGTGGTGGGCGTGGAGGTAAGAGACGCCCGAGGCGAGTTGCAGGAGGAGGGTCTTGATTTCGGAGGTAAGGAAGGGGGACGGCATGGAGTCGAGGATGGATTTGAGATCGTGTTCGAGGAATTCTAGGACGAGGAAGACGCTGTTTCTTTGTCAGCATGGTCCATCTGGAGAGGAAAAAAAAAAAAGACTTGGAGGGACTTACCTATCCAACCCCTCCCCAACCACCACCTCCAACAACTTCACCACATTCCTATGCTCACAATCCTTTAAAATCTGAATCTCCCTCAACCCTGTGACCGGAAACCCACTCCGATCATTGGCATCTATCTTGAGCCTCTTCAGCGCGACCACCTTGCCCGTCGCGCTCTCTTTCGCGCGCGCCACCCACCCGTACGCGCCCTCTTCGATGTCGTTCAGCTTCTCGTAGTGCTCTACACTTCGGCTGCGCCCGAAGGGCGGGGCTTCGAAGCGGAGGAGTTTACGGTCATCGTTCGTTACCGCGACGGTTACGCCTCCTCGTGCTATTACCGGCGCTGTTGTTGCCGTTGCTGTGCTTTCGCGCTCGGGTGAGAGCCGCCTCCTCTTCGCAGGCGGGCCATTGGCATCATCTTCTTCTGTCGAGTGGTGTTTCTCTTCTAGCTGCTGCGATTGCGATTGCGACTGCGATTGTTGCTGTGGCTGTCGTGCAGCTTGCTGTTGTTGCTGCTCAGCAAGCTTGCGCGCCTTCTCAGCGGCCTTCTGGCGCTTCTTTTCCTCCTTTTCGCGCTTGCGCTGGGCTTCCAGGGCGGCGTCTTCTTCGTCGTCGGCCCATCGCGATTTGGGGCGAGCAGACATTTTGGCGGTCGGAAGATCAATTGGGGACAAGTCGACGGGAAGTGCAGTGTGTGGTGGGAAGATGGTGTTATGTGATGGAGCTTCAAGGGTAACGGTGAAAGTTGGGGCTGCTGCTTGGCTTGGTGGGCTGCGGGTTTGTTTGGAGATTTCCCAGTTGGTCAATGCGCCATGCAACGCAGCGATGTCGAGACTTGTGATGAAAGGTGTAAATTTTTAAATGTTGATTCTATCCTATCTTTTCAGCCGGAGGATTTTTAGTTTGTTGAAAGTCGAGGATATGGGACGAAGGTGAAGATCACGAGCTTTTGACATTCCACCTTACCCTAACCCTGCTACCTAAGCAACTTCTAACCCTAACCCCTCTCTGAACTCTGAGATCCTGACGATGATCCGAGAGCTCTCCTTGTCGGGAAAGACAAATCCTCGAGAACACAGCCAAAGACTGCAGGTCCACTAAGCTCTCTCCCGATCTGCTTCACCGTCAAACTTCCAAAAAGTTCAGCCTTGCTCTTGCAGCACGCTCATCGCATGCAAAATGAAGATGCAAAAAGCTAAGATCTTGACCGACCCAGGGATCGAACCTGGCACCTTCTCGGAGGCAAGAGCCTTCTTGATCCACATAAGCTGTGAACGAGACGTGATAACCACTACACCAGTCGGCCAACTGATGAGAGCTCCGGGCATATCGCGAGCCTAAGGTGGGCGAGGCATTGTAACGGGAGAGTTGCCTGTCACACGATAGTGTTCATCTAATGGGAGTTGGTTTGATGACCATGATGAGGAGTACATAGGGAAACTAGGTATTAGAAAAACTATGGGATCAAGTGGCAGATGCGGGATATATCACTCAGGGTAGACGGGCCGCTGGAGAGACTGATAATGCCACAGTAGCAGTTAGCATTGACAGCTTGGATGAGGAGGTTTCTGGCCATGCTTGCTGACGTGTGCCTAGAGCGGGAATATAATGGGATATCGAACCGGGGTCGAGAGTGTTTCCTGATATCATAAAGTGCCGAGAAATGTTCCTCCCAGAACACTTGAGCTTAAGGTCGGAAACTAGAGAGAGTGTTTTCTCTCCCAAGTGGCAGCGGCATCACTCTGACTTGCTCGACGCTCTTGCGGTCATTTCAATAGCAAGTGCCGCTTTGATACGAAAGAGGGACAAAGATGTCAGTTACATCAAGGAACTTGTGCTGTATTACAAACTAGCTTATTGATGTACGTTGCTATGCCGAAATTTACTTCTCACAACAGCAAAGAGTCTCTTCGAAGCAGTACAAGAACTACGCTTACTTTCGAAAGCAGAAGGTCGATTGGGGCATTAAATACTGTAAACACCTGAAATTTGTCACGAAGGTTTCAGACGATATTGAAACCTACCCAGAGAAAGTCAACATTAGCTTAAATTGTCTTGAACAGTGGCAACGTAAGCAAACCGTACTTGTCGTTGAACCAAGATAACTTTGTCCTTCCTTCTTTTGCTGAATTGGCACCGATTACGCACGGTGAAAGTCTATCCCTCCCGGTTCCGAAGCCTTAGCCACATTGAACTGACATATAAATCCCTCTTGGTTCTCATTAAGTCATTCTTCCTCATAAAGTCGACATCTCCGCGAAGTCACTGGACTAAGTTCGGCCCAAAATAGACAATTAGTGCTGCTCAACACAGCTGGCCAACTTTCACGAAATAAACATGCGCCCCACTTCTCTTCCCATTTTCCTCCTCCTCTCATCCCCTATCACCCCAGCACTCTCCCTCCCTTCTTTACCAACAACCCTAACCACCAACATCGCCATATCCCTCGCCCGAATCCATAGCATCCCCATCCCTCCTTCCCTCCTCGAGGCTTCAGCCCTCAACATCGACGTATGGGGCCCGATCCCAGACGACGCTGTTCGCGTCCCGCTTCCCAACAGCACTGACCTATATGGCTTCCTTTCTGAGCCGGGGACCAGGGCAAATGTATGGGCTAGGGCGCAGGGCGAGCTGGATAAGTTTGAGGAGGAATTGAGGAGGTGGGAATTCATCGGGGGGTTGGAGAGGAGGCAGCGGGGGATTGGTGAGTAGCAATGGTAGGGATAGGTTTGGAGGGGAAGGTTAACGTTGGGACAGCTAGAATCGGGGTTGGGTTATGGGAAGGGAAACGCTGTACGTAAATTCCCCGCCCTCCCCTGCCCTGTCCTATTCAGTGATCGCTTCAATGCATTCTCAACCAGCAGACCTCTAACCTAGGTAACCGGATGGGGCGAGATGCCCATAATCCTCGAGTTAACAAACAGGCAATGGCAAAAACTTCTACATCCCCAACTTGCAGTACGACATATATTACGCCCCGCCCCTGGGCTCAGGGGACTACGCTGCGATAGCTGTCCGTGGCCGTGACATCGAGAATCCACATGAGCTGCTGGAGTTCTACAGAACCGAAGGGAGCAGGGCGTGTGGCCCGCTCGCGGCGCGCCCGAGGAAAAGGCCTTTGAAAGGTAAGCAGTGCCACTTTTCGAAATTTTATAGGATATGCGGTATCAGTGTGAGCTTGTTTGCTGATGTGGTTGGATTATCATCTTGGCCGTAATAGCTGGCTGCTACGACTTAGCCAACTTGGGGGGTGACCCCGTTGCTCACTGCTTTAGGATTTGGTGGCATTGAAACAGCCTGGATAAGTGTGTTTGGGGTAGGAGGCATACTTGACATGCTTATCATTGTTGCCAGGTTTGTGGGAGAGGTTGTGCGAGAGAGTGGTGCTTAGAGAAATCACGGGTTTCCTAGCAGACACTTGATAAGGGCCTGCCTGGTGTTTGCACTTTGCATCGAGCTCGGACTGGGTATTTGTACGAGATCCCATACTCACATCTTCGCATACCTGGCATCTTGAAGTGTCTATACGTGGAAAGGCCGTTGCAATACCACAAGGACTGCTTTCCTCCAAGCTAATGTGGTTCCTGGGACCTTGAGATATTATCTTGTTTGGTCACGAATGCAACCCATATTCTGTGATTAAAGACATCAGCGTGCTAGAATATGGGGGAAAGGATCTCTCAATGTTGTCTATCGTCGACGAAAAGTGTATTGAAGTTAAACTCCCAGGAAGCCTGATGCGTAAATCCCCTTGCGGCGCCCCTGAGATGACAGCCTCAGGAAGCACCGGATGCAAGGAACAAATGTAATGCAATAAACAATTCGCAACGAAGCAGGGAATGCACACACGCAATAAATCGGAGACCCGCATCCCAGGGTCCACTGTCTCAGTGCTTGAAGAGGCTTACCTCTCCTTGCTCATCTTATCAATTGCAAACTTTCTTCTTGCTGCACGGGAGCGCATCAAAACGGACAGTGATTGAGGGGCAACCTCCTTCCACATCCCGCAGCGTCTCGCCAGATGAAAGGCTGTGTGAGTGCACAAAGCAAGCATGCAAGCGCACACGAACATCCCAAGCATCGGGGAACCAATGCGATCGCCTGCAGGCAATGGCGGGGCACTCTGCAGTCAGGAAGAACTTGGCCAATCAGATTCCCTAAAGTGAACAAGGGGATCTGGTGAAGCTTTGCCTGGTACGCCAAGGTAACGGGACCCAGCGCCGGCCCAGCAAGCGCAGCAACCCCAGCGAGCCCCCAGGGGAGCCCCAGAACAGCAAGGTGGGCCCACTCATCAGCACTCCAGAGAGACTCCAGCGGGAGCCTGGACCACTTCCTAAGGAGAAGGATCAAACGAACGACCGACTTTCCGTCTTTGATTTTATGACTCGAGAGAGAGGGTCCCTTAATTATTGAGTGCAGTTTACAGCCTTTTATTTTATTTATTTTTTTTTTTACAACCTGCATTTTTCAAGCGTTTCACTCTTCACCTCTTCTTTCCAACTCTCCCAGACAGGATTCCCCAACTACCAGCCGCGCACCTATAGCTATCAGCCGCCATGTCCGGCCGCTTTGTGCGCGCGTCGAAATATCGTGCGTGGCATTTGCCCCTTTCTTCTCCCTTTCCTGTAATGCTCATCGCCAGTGTCATCGCCTGACTGACACCCTCTCTCTCTCTCTTTCTCGCGCGCGCGCAGGACACGTCTTTGGCAAGCCCACCAAGAAGGAGTTTTGCTATGACAACCTCCACATCAGCCGCAATGCCTGGGACACGAACCTGGTGAAGGTGCGTCTCCCCCTCTCTGGGAAGGTGTAGAACAGAACAGAGCTGATGGGCTTTGTCTAGGTCAACCCCGAGTACCTCTCGGTCAACTGGGAGTCGGCAGGTGGCGGCGCCTTCGCCGTCATCCCCCTCAACGAGCGCGGCAAGCTGCCCGACCAAATACCCCTCTTCCGCGGCCACACTGCCCCCGTGCTGGACACGGACTGGAACCCCTTCAACGACCACATCATCGCCTCAGCATCTGAGGACACTAAGGTCTTCATTTGGGAAGTGCCAAAGGGTTTTACTCTCTACACCGATGCCGAGGAGATCCCCGATGTCGCTCCCGTCGCCAAACTTTCGGGCCATTCCCGCAAGGTCGGCCATGTCCTGTTCAACCCCGCCGCTGAGAACATCCTGGCCTCGTCGTCGGGCGATTTCACCCTCAAGATCTGGGACATCAGCACCGGCCAGGCCCCGTTGACCCTGCGCCATCCGGACATCGTGCAGTCGCTGTCATGGAGCGCCAACGGCGCCATGCTGGTGACTACCTGCCGCGACAAGAAGCTGCGCGTGTGGGATGTGCGAACCGAGAAGCCCGTTCATGAAGCCCCTGGCCACGAGGGTGCCAAGAACAGTCGTGCTGTATGGATGGGCGAGCACAACCGTATTGCGACTACTGGTTTCTCGCGCATGAGCGAGCGCCAGATCGGCTTGTGGGAGCCCGGTCGCAAGGACCCCATTGGCGGGTTTGTGTCGCTCGACTCTATCTCTGGTGTCTGTATGCCCTTCTGGGATGACGGCTCCAACTGCCTGTACTTGGCCGGCAAGGGCGACGGCAACATTCGCTACTTCGAGTACGAGAATGACAAGTTCGAGTTCTTGTCCGAGTATAAGTCAGCCGATCCCCAGCGTGGTATCGGCTTCCTACCCCGCCGTGGCGTCAACGTCCACGAGAACGAAGTCATGCGCGCTTACAAGACCGTCAACGATACCTACATCGAGCCCATTTCGTTTACTGTGCCCCGTCGCGCCGAGACCTTCCAGGCTGATATCTACCCTCCTGCTGTTGGTCTTCGCCCGGCTGTGTCGGCCAAGGAGTGGTTCGATGGCAAGACCGCCATCCCGCCAAAGATCGATTTCGAGGCCATCTATGAGGGCCGTGGTGTGGTCGAGGTATCCGGCGCGACTCCCTCGTCCGTGCCGGTGCCAGCTCCTAAAGAGCCCGAGCCTGCCCCGAAGACGGAGCCCGAGCCGGCCCCGGCCCCGGCCCCAGCCCCAGCCAAGGAGGAACCCAAGAAGGAGGAGCCTGCCCCTCGATCTCGCCCAGTCAGCCTGGCTGACCAGAAATCCGCCCTCGCCTCAATGGCCGCCAAGTACAAGGACGCTGAGTCCGACAACAGCGATGCCGAGACTTCCAGCTTCGAAGAGATCCCCAAGCCCCCTCCCCAGCGCTCCAGCATGATCGCTTCCTCTGCCCGCTCCAGCATCATCTCCCCGACCCCGACCGCCACCCGTTCCAGACCCGAGTCCCTCGCCACAGGCGTTCCTCCTTCCGTCCGCAACTCCCGCTCTTCCGCTCCCACCGCAGCCTCCTCGCCGACTCGTTCCCCGCAATCTATTACTCCTCCGCTGTCTGCTCGCCCAGGCAACGGCAGGACTTCTGGCCGGGCGTCCCCCACGTCCTTTAGCAGCGCCGTCGAGGCCGCCCTGCAGCAGATCAAGCAGGTGTTGGAGCAGCAGGCCAAGGTGATTAGCGACCAAAGCGAGCGGATTACGGTGCAGACGCAGATCATTACACGGTTGGCAAGCGAAGTGGAGACGTTGAAGAAGAAGGTTGCGGGGGCAGAGGGGTTGGCGGAGCAAAGCGCAAGTGAGAGGATTCGGCAGTTGGAGTTGGAGTTGGAGGAAGCTAGGTCTTGACCTGCTGGAGCATGAATCTGAATAAGGAGGATGTGTGATGAATGTAATGCGAGGGCGGGAGGTGTGTCATGATGGTGTTCCGTGTGTCGATGTTATGTGGAGGGTCTACTACAACTATACAAATACCTGCTGTTGTTACTGGTTGGGAGGGAGGGATTTGTTCTTGCGATGTTTTCTTTTTGTTTCCACACTGTCGATATATAACTAGGGATACATGGTATTAATTGAGATGAAGAGTGGGATGCCTCCTGCTCCTGCTCTGTTGAGCGACCTGAGCTATATATAGTTTCTGTCTTAGCTGGATGATGTGTGACGTGTCTACTGCTCTGCTGAGGACCCTTGAAGGACTGGCCGTCTATCCAGGCAGTTATTATTCGGGTAGTGGATGATCCTGATGCCAGCATACCAGCGTCATTTCATATCTAACTGCGTTGGGGAGAAACTGAAAGCTCTTCGTCCTCTCACTCGCGAGACCTGCCCTTTGCAGACTTCAGCTGATCAAACCAGCTTGATCCGGCCTGCTCTTCTTGACAAGACCCAATGCGGGGATAGGACGGGACAAGCTTGCAGGGAATACATTAGTGCACGCACATCTTCAGTGTAGTATTCCCCCATCCCCCCTCCCCCCTCCCCTCCCCCGCACGATCTACAACTCGATGGCTGTCGTTGTGGGATATGATGCAAATTGGTGGCTGAGGTAGCGTCATTTCTTTTCTCACCGGTTACTGCAACGTCAATCACATTCAAGACCACGGGCTATATATAGAACTGTAAGCGTATTTACTGACTGGCAAAGGATACAAATGGCTGTTCTTCCCAGTGTATATCACAATTGATGGATACATATATCCATGACTTTGACTGCAGGCTGGAGTCACTATTTATTCCAGGAAAGGACGCCCTGCTTCAATATTGTGAATGGAGTCTAGGTAGATCGAATTTTTCAGACATCTTTTAGGCTTTAGGTAAGCGAGCTTTTATTTTTCCTCACCACGGCTGAAGTCCATATATGGGTGCTCTTTATCGAAGGGCCATTTCTCCTCATGGGATATCAGCTACGAGGGGTCAAAGTTTGACTGGTGTTCTTTGCGTCTCAAGGCTTCACTCCATTGGCTAATTGATGGGACAAACAAAAAAAAAAAACAAAAATAAAAGCACGAGCCACCATCATTATCTATATATAGATGCTCTCTCTCACCAGATCTCCAAGCCCGGAGCGATATCATGTCTACCAGCGCATCTGCCTTAATTGTCCCTTCTACGGGCGTCTACAGCCAGCCAGCAAAATCCCCGAATGGCGACCCCCATGGACCATCCGCATCCAGTCTTCCTCTCCCGGAACTATCTTCACTCCCTTCAAACTGGCATCTGAGCCGCCAGGAGCAAGATAGAATCCTGAAGGAAGTTGTAATCCCAGCCGAGCTTCCCTCTTCTAACTTTCCTCTCGAGAGAGGGGATGCCGCCTCAAAGGTAGCTTTCTTTCTGTTGGGCCAGACGGGGGCAGGGAAGACCAGGCTTTCGAAGAGGATATTGAAAGCGCTGGAGAGACATGCTGGGATCAGAGCCCTCGAAGAGGCTTCCTATCTTGCCGACGGCAATGGTGTGAAAAGGGGGACAGCATCCGAGTCAGAAGCCAATGACGATCAACCCCAACTCCAACCTGGAGACCAGCCTGCGTCAAAAGAGAAAGTCCTACATCTAGTCGCCGACGGGTTCAAACACCACCATCCTAATTATTCACACTGCTTACAACAATACGGTTCCCGTCTGGCAGCTCAATTAGCCACGCGGGCAGCGGCAGAGTGGTTATACGGCGTATGCGCTGAGGCCGCTAGACGCGGGGTTGGAAGGGTTGTTGTAGAGGCGGCTTGTAGACATCATGGTTCTTCAAAGCCCAGGACGGAGGTGAAGGGAGAGGGGGAGGGGAATGGGGCAGGATACGCTGAGGCAAAAAGAGATGAGGAAGAGCCTGACCCTGCCACTGTTCCAGCGTTGTTGAAGTTGTTTCACAAGGCCGGATATGAGCTGAAGATCATGGTTCTGGCCGTTCCAGCGCCGCTGAGCAGACTGGGTACAATGGTGCGGTATTACAAGAGATTAGAAGAAGGATACGGCGGCGGAGGTGACTATTTGGTGGGAAGTCGGCATTATGGGGACACGGCCAGGGGAGAGGTTCAGGGCCAGGGTCAGATCCAGGAGGGAGTCTTCGAACAAGTGGCAAGAGGAGTGGGGGGAACGCTGAGGCTTACGCCCAAACCAGTCCACGACGCTTCGTACCTGGGGGTTAGGAAGGCGGTGGAGTGGATAGGGGATGTGCTGCTGAACGGGTCGGGGTCCGATGAGACAGACGGGACGAGAGAACATCTACCGGAAGGGGGGAAGTCCAAAGACGAGAAGAACCTGACAGCAGATAGCTCGTGGGGAAATGTCCAGGAGGGCAATGATGGCTTCAGAGAAAGGACCAACGAGGGGGCAGGCAACAGTGCTCCTTCCAATGCCCACACTGGACCTGAAAGAAAGACGAATAACCACCACCCTCAGGGGCATCGAACCCCCAAGGCAAAGGTCCGACTGCTGATCCTCCGTCGTAAAGGGGAAGTAGTTTACGACTCTTCCTTAAAGCCCTCAGCACAGCACACCACCAGGCAAACACTTCTCCAGGGACAGTCCGTCAGCAACAGCATCTCCAGCACGACGGTAACCTTTAGCCCAAACTCGAATCAAGGTTGGAGCCCCGTCGAAGCTCTCAATCGAGCACGAGGCATCTTGACACCTCAAGAGAGACACCTCGCTCTGGAAGATATATCCTTTCTTTGCGCGATGGCGCACGCAAACCCATCTACGAAGATCAACCTGGTTGAATTAGATGAGATCAAGAGGGAACTATGTCAATTGGGGACATACAACCCCGAAGAGGGCTCTCATTCGGGGCTTCGAGGAGCTGAGAGGGTGATAGATCTCGAGGGGGCTGTTTCTAGTGTTGGGCTGTGAGAGGCTTGAAAGGGACTATCTTTTTTTACAGAGCTTGTTCATGAGACGAGGAGCTCATGATGCTTTGGCTTCTGCAATCGTCCTCTTGATTGACACCTTCCCTTCTGGTGTAATGAGGCACCTGGCCGTCTAATGAACTCATATATATATATATATATATATACGGAGTGCCTCGAGCCTCGCTCGCCATTCTTTGCCTTACCAAGGACCAATGCCAACCTTATTGTGGGCTATCACTCGGCTGAATTGGCCTGCGTCTACTATTATGAAAGCCTTTTAGGACATCCAATTTCTTCTCTTCTCAGAAGAGACCCCGTTCATAGGCTTTAACCCCACGTGGCAAGAATGTCTGCCTATCTACCCGCTCGCTCGCCTCTTCTTGACTACCCCGCCATCCCATACGGAGCTTCACCCTTCCGAGCAATGCCTAGTCTAGGTAACAGTGAACCTAGGTACTCATCCAGATGAACATGCATGCATACATACGTGGATATATTCAAGGAAATTATCACCTTCCATCCATTGAGCCGCACGGGTGCTTCCACGACACACTGAAGAGCTTCCATGCATATTTCGGCTGGAATTTTGATGGGGCACCTACTGATTAGAACATGTGGTTGGGGCACGCTGCTGTGGAAATTGGCCAATCTGGATGAGGTATGGTTGATTCAAGAACTTATTGGGCTTCGGTCGGATGACCTTGGTGGTTGCCTGAATGAAGAGAGGGGAAGGGAAGATAAGGGAGGGGGCTGAGTATCTGGTTTCTGATGCCCCTGGCGCTCTAGTTTCGATGCTGGCTTGACGATGACAGACAGGCATATGGTATCCGGAACTGGTACTAGGTACTCGAAAGCTATCTTCCGAGATACAGTTCTTCACCTACCTGCCTCTAAAGGAAATGTCTACGTAGCCCTACACGTAGATGCTGGAAACGCGAGAACTAGAGAGTGACAAAGACTTGTCTTCATGCTGTTGTTGTCTTGCAGTTGTGACTAGCCAATCGCATCCCAGTCTTACAGCGCAATTGATCACATCCACTACTTCTCGGAAAATCTTATTGTTCTGCATGTTTTTCTGTCTGCAGGTTGACTTGTCGACAAAGTTTACATAGCTTTGATGATGTGCTGCCTGCACAGGCTTACCAGGTGGACGTTTATCAAGTTCTTCACAAACAAAGAACGAATCCAGCATTGGGCTGGTTGGTTGGAGGGATTGAACTCCATTTCCAAACTGTTAACTCCCTTCTTCAAGGTACCCACCCCCCCCCTTCTCTCTCTCTCTCTCTCTCTCTCTCTCTCTCTCTCTCTCTCTCTCTCTCTCTTTACCAGGTACTCTTGTTGGCCATGTGCGGCTCCCAGGGCAGAACCATGGATCACGGCTGGACGGGACCGAGTTTCCAGCGGAGAGGGGAGAGGATTCTGCGATATTGATGTATCAATGAACCGAATCGACGAAAATGGCAACGGGCTGGCGGCGAACTCGGCGATATTAGAGATGTTGACGATGCTGCTGGTTGGAGCTGCGGTGGTCGCACAA